CTGACTAACGAAAGCTAGAACGTTTATATAAATAATCGATCCATTCATGGAGTCATGGGCTGGTTCGACCGTAAAAAAAAACATTTGTCATAAAAAGACAATTCAATATCCAGCTGTGTACTTTGGAAAGCTCCCTCAAATCATAAATGTCCGTTTAAAGAAAAGTTCAGTTTATTGGAGGCACTGATTTCTCAAGAAAATATGACTCGCTTTCCAAAGGTTTTTAAAAATGAACTTTTCACTGAATTGTATTAAAATAACATTCTCGTGAAATTAGCGAGACCAAGCAGTTGTAACATGTTTACATGTTTATACTTAGAGCTAAACCTTTCAGTATTAGTAGAGAAGTGAACTATCGCAATTCGCTATCTACAGACAGATTCAATTGTTATTCTCACTTACGATTTTGTGCTTGTTGAGTTGGCCATTATATGCGTTTAGCTAGAAAGAAGAGTAACTCACAAGTTAGGACGAATTTAAGGCAAAAAAGAACAGTTAAATCGAGCTAAAAAGTCACCTGTATATTAACAATGAAATCAAAAGTAAGACTTCGAAAAATAGCATTTGTTAGAGGTCACAAAAATGACCAAAACAGAAAGCTAACACTCACGTTTTCACCACAACGGCAAACACCCGCTCTTCACGTCGCCGACGTCCCTGCGACGGCTGGGAAGTTGGCTAAATCATGCGCAGTAACGCAAGGGTCATGATTTAACTTCCGGTCTAAGTCGCCGTCGCCCCGAAAACGTCCATTGCTTAAGTTCCCTAGTTTGCTGAAGGTCCCCTATTGTTGTTTTATTAGCAACTTTGGACAGCTGTTTTGGCATTGCCTTTGATGCGTGTGGCGTCAGTTATTATGAATGAAATTTCAACATTTCTCTTAGTCCAGCTGCGGCAAAACGAAAAACAATATTATATTGGTGAGCATACGGGAGATGGCGGGAGACAGGAAGCGCTTTGAACTTGTGCGATTGTCTTCCTGTCAAGCGTGACTTATGACGACGCGAGAAACTGGGCCGAATAAGTATGTCACGCAACGTTGTTGTAAGTTGTTCGTAGGAAACAGTGGATGTCAGTTTCGAAACTGTTTTAACTCAGCTGAATCGGCCGTTTTTAGCTATTTAATTTATCATAACTGACAAGAAAAGGATAAATTTCATCATCACGATGGGACTTTTGTTCTGAAAAGCATTTTAGGACACATTTGCCTTAATTCACGGATTACAAAAAAAACCAACATGGCGGTTTATAGAACGTGCCTGCGTTGTGCACTGCAAGGATTACTCCTTTTTGTAAACTTTGCTGTTCCAATGGGTGAGTAGTAAGCGTAGAAATATTTTTCTTTCTGCAACTGATCTTCAGCCATATTCAAAAGGTAAATTTTAAAATATTTTCGCGTCCAGATCGTGTTTCCTCACAACCGAATTAGAAACGCAAATATCGATCGATGCTTTATTGTAAACGATCGCAGGTTTATCAATGTCAAAAAATATGTGATCTGCTGTATGTTCACTCTTATGTTATGAAAGCAGTATGAAGGGTTATTAGAACAAAGATATGTTCTATTAATAGTCTCGTAGCCTTTACGAGTTGTTCATGACTAATATTAGATCATTCTCTGCGCACGTAGTACGTCACGTGAGAGGCAACCTAAGCTGTTTACAAACCCGTTTGAATACAATATCAAGTGCTCGCCTGGAGAAGTTAATACGTGTTTATATTATTTATTCACGGACTTGTTTCGACTTTTTGTCGCCACAAATAAGTCGACCTCATTACCAATTCATGAACGACATAATCGAGCAATTTTCATTTGATAAGAACAACTTGGAATCTTTGCCAATTTACATGCAAATTACGAAGAAAACAACCACAGTTCTTTTAGCGGATTTTTTCATTTGCATGTTTGAACCAGACCCTATTTATGACAAACTTGTACACTGGAAATGCAGTGGGTGTAAATGCTATTTTTCCAGGTCATTTTACCTGATATTTTTGGCAAGCACTTTTAAACTATATGTTTAAGAGTTTAACAATCATTTGAGCTCTCAGAGAAATCTTTAGAACTCTAATAAATCGCTTACAGACGATATTGTGTAGGTAAGTGTCAAATGAATAATTTCTTGTGAAGTTACATTATTTTCATCGTCATCACGGATTAATGTTATTTCAACCACTACAACAACAACAAAAACAATTTGTTTTTTATTTACATTTAAGTTATAAAAATTATTTTAAAAAGTAAGGAAGGGAAGAAATGATGGATAAATTAATTTATCATGCTCTAATATTTCAAGAAGAGAGAGTAGAGCCATTTAGAGCTATGTTTTCTTGTTTATTTGTAACGAACTGTAGAATTGTCATGAACGAATCTGAGAATTCAATGAAATCCTTGCTGTTATCTGATTGCATAAGTAAATTAACGATCAACGATTTGCTTAAAGGTTCATCATTTTAGTGTTTTAGTGGCCTGCAAGTAGGTCCTTAGTATAGACGCTTTCACACGAGCAATACTTCGCCAGAGGGAAGGTATGAGATAGAGCGGAGAGAGGTTAATTCTAACCTCTCTCGCCTTGAGCAACGCGAGTCGGCGAGAGGTGTGCAAGGGGTCTGGCACTAATCACTTGATTAGTGCCAGACTCCCGGCAAACCTCTCCCCCGATCCGTCTCAAATCTTCCCGAAAGCGGGGAAACGAGCGTCTTGCAGCGCGAGCAATGAGGGCTTGTGGGAAAGGCTTAGTAGCTAATTAACTTATCTGGTTTGTAGGACTAACCCTAGACGTGAATCTGACACGTCAGGAAATCACAACCTGTATTGGTGAACCAGTAAACCTTGGTTGCTATGTCAACCAAATGAGCTCAGTGCATTTGACATTTTCTTGGACGAAAGATAATCTGACTGTCTCACAATCCTCAAACACACGAGTCTATAGAAACGTGCTGGTGGTAACTCCTGAGGATGATGCAGACTTTGGAACGTACGAGTGTCACGTTAGTGATAACATGACAGTAACAAAATGCAGTATTTCACTGAATGCGGGGTGTAACAACAGAAGTAAGTGATGTTCCTAGTAAATAGTTTGTAAAGTTGATGGTGAAATGCACGAAAGTGGGTCATATTTCAATGTTTAATATTTTCATCAAGTGTAAAGTGGCTTTTGAGACAGACGCTTTTTCTGCGTTTTTTTTGGCCTGATGTTAGGAAAACGTACACGAATTGCAAATCATAATGAAGGGACGCAGGCCTATCAAAGGTTATGCAACACAACGTTCCTGGCTAAGGCTGGAACCCAGATCACCGCGTCACTTAGAGTTTCACTGCTGACCGTGTTTTACTAACTTACTGACAAAGCTAACGCTCGAAACATGAGCTTTAGAAACTCTTCATGGTGGCCAATTTACATTATCAACTCAGTTGATAAAACCAGATTTTCTCGTAATAACCCTTCCCCCCCCCCACCCTTCCATTCCACAGTTTCCTTAGAAACTAAACCCGCCATTGATTCGTGTTCAGCTAAACTTTGGCAATTTTCCGAGTTGTGGGTACTTGTGGGTAGCTTGTGAGCAATTTCCATTTTTCATCTTCCTTGAACAAAAAAGGAATTTAAAGGTTATATTTCGTGCTATTCACTGCATGATCGTCATAAAGCTGGTTTTCGTTTTTGATCTTGCGCTTTTGTGTTGTCATGTTTTAGACCATGTGGAGGAAAACAGTGCTGGCTGTGGTATTATTGCCGTTCTCATGCCGGTTTTAGCAGTGACTGTCGTTTCTATGCTACTGAATGCTCATTTTCTAATTCGTTGGAAGCGAAGAGATGAATGGGCGTTGTCTGAAGAGGCGATCATGCAGCTTCAACTATCCCAACAGTCTGTACCAGTTGAAGAGAAAAGTGAAGAACACGTTGAAGTAAAGAAAAAGAAGCCTTTCCGCGAGCGATTTAGGAAACGCCGTCCTACTGAACACTCTGAAAATAACCAACATATTGAAGACAAAAACCATACGGACATTCTTTGCGAAAAAGATACACAGGAGAAAAACAGACAAGAAACCATTGAAATGCAGGAAATTCATGACATTCCGAGCGTGGCAGACATCAGAGCTGCCGACGAAACAAACGTTGAGACTGCGCATGCTCCTTCAAATCTAAACCTCATCCCAGTTGATATGGATAATACGCCAAGGATTGCAGATTTCTTTGTTTCTGGTGACGAAACAAACGATGAGACTGCGCCTGTCCTGTCAGATCCTAACCGCATCCCAATTGATGCAGAGGAGACACCAAGGTTTGCAGATTTCTTCGTCCCGGGTGACGAAACAGATGGCGATGCTAGTGGACGAGAGAGCCTTGACTCTGAAATGCCACTTGTTAGTCATTACATGGAGAGGATGGATTTTGAAGAGAAAGAAGACGCCGACGATGAACCAGTTGTGAAATGATAAAACCGGTTTGGGTGCATGTTAGGCAGAGTATATGAATCATGCGACGATCGTTTAAACAAACACAGCGGTCAAACGTCTGCGCATGTTTGAGTGTTAAAACCACAAAGAGACGCCGTCACTCATCATATAACTGATACAAAAATTAGGAATAAACAACGCCGGTGATTTGAGCGTCCACAATCTTTAGTCAACCTCAAATTAAAACGATAAATGATAAACCATCTAATGATAATACCCCACTAATGTTAGTATTAAGTTTAAACGTTAGCGTGAGAATTTGATGTATTTTTTCATAACTCTTGCGTGACATCGGTTGCTTAATATTTTTTCCTTTTTAAAAAAGTTTTTCGCGGGAAAATGGCACGCGACTGGCTCAAATTGCCCCACTTGCGCATGCCCGACGTTAAACCGCTGTATGATTTGAAAACAAAATTCATCTGAAAGGATCTACGAAACGACACCATTAACAATAGCCTTTGAATAGAAAGACACCTTACAATAACGGTTTGGTTGGGTGAAAAAAAACTGGAGAGGTGAGAAAAGAACGAAAAAACTCAGGATAACTAAGGATGGGAGAGATTTTCACAGAACGTAAATGAAGACCTTGAAATATTTTAGATAAGTTTTTGGTTTTGTTTTGTTTTGTTTGTTTGTTTGTTTTTTGACATAATCAAACCGTTACGTTTCTCTTTTAAAGTATGGGGTTCGTCTGAACAATCCTTCGAAATATTCAGGTCTGAAAATGGTATTTGATTTTTTTAAAATCTTATGAAGTCATGTCACTTTTATTTCGGTCATTGTACGTTTTTAAATAGGTATTTTGTGAGTTTAAGAGGTTTTGCCTTGTACCCTTTACACTCTGTCGGTTCCATCTCCCCGGCTCCCTATTAGATTTTCCCAAGGTAAGATAAGGGGTGTCCCTCTACAGAAGAGTTCATGCAATACCCTTCCTTAATTTTGTTCGCCAGATAACTTTTAAGGACGGAGAGGCCTTTTATATGAACTTTCATATCGTATCATTTCGCACTCTTCATAAATTTGTACGTGATCCAATATTTTGCGCAGATGCAGGAATACACATCCTCCACCATAATTTCTAGCGAAATCGTTTTGGCAGACCATATAAAACTTAATCAATGAAAAAATCTTTCATATCTATGAAGTAGAAGAAAAATATGCATAGCTATTTAATTTTGTACAAGAATTTTGTAAAAGAATAATATATACATGACACAAGGAAAGCATTTTACCAGTGCACAATATTCTAGTAAAAAAGATCTTGACTTATCACTTGTCATTCATCCACTGACTCAATATTATGTTAAAGTAATGGTGATCTTAAATTTAAAAAAAATGTGGAAGTTTAATCATTTTTGAGATTGTTTCTGCTTGATTTGTATCGCTTAGGATAATAACTTCAGAAAAGATACGGGAGGGGAGGGAGAGAGAGCTCTTAAGCTGCACTGGGATTCTTGTGATCTCCGAAAACAGAAGAGATCTAGAAACATGATGACTTAATAGGTATGCTGTAGAAACCATCTTATCTACATCTCATCTATTAGAAAGGATGAAACTATGACGTTGACCGCGTTAATTTTAGAAAGATTAGCCAGCCTTTTAAATGTGCAAGCTATTCAACCGCGGGCGCTGGCAAAGTAGCCTAGCCACTCGTCCGTTACGTAGCAAAGTCTTGCTCCTCGTTTTACCATCTCTCGTTAATCTGCATGAACCTTTTTTTGAAAAGGAATTCCAGATTTAACCGGAGCAGGCGGCTGTTTTTGACCAGATTGTTGTGCCTATGCGTGTGTGGCCAGGTTTCTGAGTTGTTTTATAAAATGGTGGCGCACGTGCCTCAGTAGTTGAATGTATAGAACATTTGTGACAATAATCAAGGGTTCGTTTACTCTTAGGAGCCTTTCAGGGCAGCATTTAGTAAATCATAAATCATTTTTAATGGCGGCAATGAAAAAAATAATATTTCCTAGAGTATACTTCTCCCTTTAAGGTTTATTTAAGGGTTCAGCCTCGCGTTCATCCTCTCCTGTCAAGCTATGCTAAGTTTGAAGGAAACTGTGTCGCTGCGTCGGCGGGAGAGTATAACAGGGTAATTTGGTAATTTGGATCGTGTGTGCCTTCCACAATTCCTCCTTTTGTGCTGACGAAGGGCTAGCGCTCGAAACGGCAGCTCGAATCTCTTTACGGTGACCAATTTACGTTATCAACTCAGTTGATAATGCCAAATTACCCTGTTATTCCATGTTCATTCATATAGGAAGCGTTATCGCTGCAGAGCCGAATGTAGTTGTCTTGACCAATATCAAAACTTTACAACTTCACATCTTGGCCGGGTATAACTCTTCTTTGATCTTGTATCAAAATTGATTCAACACCAATGGTCGTGTTTCTACGTTTTTCTTTTAAAAATGAAGTTTGAGTTCAGGCTCTAAATAGAGAAAGTCTTTCGGGGTCAAAATTGAGTCACAGTGCTTTCTTGGATCCTTTCATTTTCTTCCATTCGTGAGACTCGCCGATTGACGTGCAACTCAATGGGTTCTTCGATGACACAGCTTCCTTCGCGCATGCGCACATGCTCGTGACTATGTAGACTGCTATCCTCACTTTTCTTGGATAGCACTTCATCACGTGATCGCCTTCTTGCGCCTTGGATGACAAGATGAATGAAGAGCAAGAGTGAAAAGACTGCAACTGCTAGAACGGGCATCAGGACTGAAACGTTCACACAGCCAGTTGTGGGGTCACCTTTCAATTAATTGGAAAATGCTCTGGTAAATAAATGAATGATTACGATAAGGTGCAAAAAGCCGGAGCTTACAATCCCAGTTTCTGTAGAATTAGGAGACTACAATCTTAGACACAAGTATTGGAAAGCTAAGAAAATATTTTGTTCGGATAATTTTTCGATTGGGTGTTGAAAAACCAAACCAAAGTAATCACAATTGGCCAATGGGAATTTACAGTAAAACTAAGCAAACTGATAAAAGCGCGGGAAAACGCGGATGACTAAATCGCGATTGGCTTTCGTTTTCTTTACGTATTCCTTACAAAAACCCTTCCAACTTTTCGAGTTCCAGTTCTTGTCGGTAGCTAGTTTTTAAGATATACGCAAACAATAAATGGAGCCTTCACATAGCGAATACGCTGTTGCCTAGAAGAGCTCCATATTTTTCGGTTTCTTCCTCCTAATCGCTCCAGGCCCTTTTGTTTTTATACAAAATTCAAGTTATTCTCCATGCTTACCCGGTGTACTCGTTACTTGTACCAGAGAGATCCTGCACAAACCACTGGACATTCCGTTGGTAACATTACACTCGTACGTTCCAAAATCAGAATCTTTCTCCGGTGTTACAACCAAGACGCCATCAAATGCTTGCACATTTGGAGATTGCGTGACAGTTTGGTTGTCTTTTGTCCAAAAATACTCCAGTATAGAGCCGGCTGAGGTGGTAGTTGCATAGCAACCAAGGTTCACCGGCTGTCTAACAAATGTTGTGACTTCTTGTCGTGTAAGATTCACGTCGAGTATTAGCGCCTCTGATTGAAGAAGTAAAAAAAAGATTGAGTATAAGGCCAGACTTACATGAAATTACCAAGATCTAAGAATGGTTTCGTAATACAGTTAGCAGTAAGGTCCAATTGGATGTACGTGGCATGGGTTCCAGTGTCATATTTTGCTTTGATTCTTCTCTCAAGATTTACCTCTTTCTTTTTCAGTTTTTTTCGAAAATAAGTTTTTCTCCTGAGGATTAATTCGCCCGTTATCGTTACTCTTGGGTCAATATGATTTACTTTAATATTATACGCGATAAAACTGTATACTTTGAAATGTACTATCTACAAACCACAAATATGGTCTAATTAACTAAACGTGTTTTATTCAAAACGTGCATTTTAACTCAATGAATGCCAGTATGTTTGGTCATGGCAATGAAGTCGCTGAAGGATACTTCATTCTGTTAGAACCAAGCATCAGAGGGCACTATGCCTCATGGGATGCTTTTAAGGATCTAAATAAACTCCCACAATTATTCCAAAATTATTTTAAGAGATGATTTTATTCATATTTCATCATTTCGATAAACGTTGGAATCTTGAGCAAGATTACGTAGTCTTGCAATTTTATATGAATGAACTAATCGCGAAGCTTCTTTAGTGCGGCACGCGTTTTCAAGGGTTTTTGCAAATGGATGTGATTATCCTAGCAAATGATAAATCGTTCTATAGTGGTAGAGGGCTCGATAATTTTGCATACGTGAACTTTCGTAGGCTAGCAAATATACAAAAATATATTAAAACTGTCTGTAACCATTAATTGTTGCTTAACAGTCGACAGACTGTCTAAATCTCGCCCATAAACGATCTTACTACCCACTAGTTGTGGTATTTTATGCATGAAGTATTTTTTTGTGCTAAGAAAAATGAAAAACAATAGACTAAAGCAATTTTTTGTCTTGGATTCTTCAAAATTTTTCTTTATCTCTGTTGTGTTGTGTACCATAGAGAAGCTATTTAAATCGAGACAAAAACCATATCAAGGTTAATCTTGAAAGGTTTTTTGGTTTTTGGTTTTTGAAAGAAAACTGGCATTCGATGTTATGCAATTAACACGGTATTGACTTCGTTAATCAATACTCAGAAAATGCTCGCACAACATCAGCTCTAAAACATTTGTCAAACACAAAAACAGCATCCTGTATATACGTTTTACCAAAATTTGAAGCCTTGTCTTATATCAAGTTGTTGAAAAGAAAAATATTCGTTTAATCTGCCTTCTACATAAACGTTGAACATTATCCTAATAAGAGAACAAAAAGCAGTAAAATTAAGTTGCGAAATTTTAAATCCTTTAATTGTTAAAGAAATAATTAAACCCGAGAGTCATCAAATTAAAAGGCTGACTAACTCCGATTACAATCCATTCTCTTCGTGGAATGTTGTATAAAGCACCTAAAAAGTAATCCTTGTTTTTCTGTTTTATAGTATGTGTGTGTGTGTGAGATTCTACTTCTTTAGTTTAAGACTTACTGAGAACTGAAATTAATCTTTAAGTATTTACTAAAACCAGAATTACATCTATAAACGAGACGAACTTTAAAGATGTTTCAATAAAGTTCCGGAACGCAGATAAAACGCGAATCACACTCGATCAACATTTTAAATATTTGACACGCGCGAACAAGAATTCAGCAGTAAACATTCGAAGCTTTCATGTTAATACAGTCTTTACTACTTTCTGTAAATTTTTCCTCTGTTTTTCCTCTCAAAATTATGTTTTTAATGTTTAAACTATATACAAATACTAACAACTGCTGAAGATGTTACTGAGATTTGTCAATAATTGTAGACAAAGAGAGATGTAAGTCGTCTGTGACGATTCGAACTCAAGGCAGGTCTGAATTCGTGTTTCTTATGCTGTACCGACTGAGCTGCGGAGAATCTTTTAACAAGCTATTTTAAAGTTTAATTTGGTTTTACTTACTGAGCTGATAAAGTAAATAGTCTCTAAAGCTGACATTTTGTATGTTAGTCCTTCGTTCGAATATTCGCTTCGACGAAGGGCTAATGCTCGAAACGTCAGCTTTACAAACTCTTAAAGGTGGCCAATTTAAATGATCAACTCAGTTGTTAAAACCAAATTATCTTGTAATATCCTCTACCGTCACAGCACCACAGTTTCTTTAGAAACTTACCTCCCTTCTTGTGTGGGAAGAATTAACATGGATGCTTGAACTGGTTTATCATAAACAAGTCAACTGTACAGAAAATAGAATCATTGATATACTACTCACCATTGCACACAGCAGATATGACGAGTAAAAACGTCACCTTCAACCCACATGAATAGCAAAAACAAGCTCCAAAATTCGCCATTATAGTTTTCTTTACTTTCTATCAGTTAAGGAAGTTTTACACGACAGGAAACAGGCAACTAGCTACGAAGGTCAAAACGCTCGGTATGGTTTCTCGATATTTTGTATTGAAGCAAGCACTTGTTCGATGACAACACGTCTCGCTAATGGAAGCAACGAGACTGGACTCTAAAATGCCTAATTATTTCATACAGATTGATACAATCGATATAAACGAGCGCATGAGAGAGATATTTCGATATCAACTTCACAACAGCCGCAACTTCGCGGTTTAAATGCGTAAAAATCGTATATTTCAACGCCTCCTCGGGCGGTTTATATATCTTACGTCCAATAATTAAATTAGGGAAAAGACCATTCTTGAATTTTTATGGCCAACACACGCAGCTGTTTGACTTTCTTCAGTAGAACGTGACAATATTACGTGATTATGGAATTACATCACAACCCAAGTTATAATTAACTGCACGTCACTTTCGAGCCTTTTCACGGTATTGTTGTAATTATGTTGGTTTTGCAGTCGATGAGCCAATGAAACGCTTTATTAGTTCGAGTTGCGGGCATATTAAAGTTAGATTGGTGGCACTGTGTAGATAAAACATTTGGAAAAGCTAGGAAACATACAGAAATTAAAATGTCTTGACATCAAAGGCTTCTCTCGATTTCGTCAAATAGCTTTGCTTTAGCACTGTAATGCTTTTCCATCTCTCGATATAAGATAGAAAACTCCTTTGCGAAGCCGGCTCCAATATAAAACAATCATAATATTATTAGATCAATACAACACATAAACTCCTGTATGTTTTACGTTTCTGGGTCTTTCTCTTAATCAAACAAATTACTGTTAAGAAGAAAGCCAGGAGCAAAGCGACGAAGCATTTGTGAGGACAGTACGAGTTCGTTAACTTGCCTTTACGGTTTTCATTTCCCAGAGCGTTTAAGATGTTTGCTAGAGTAGTCATGAAAAAAAGGTATGTGTGTAATTTCAATATATCACTGAATTAGCAGATTCGTTGCAAAATGTTATTTGCCACGCTGAAGGGTTTTGCAAACCAAATCTAGGGAAAGGGTGGGTAATTAAGCATAGTTAGATATCGTAGATCAGCGTAATGTTGTTATGTTTTCTTAGTGCAAAAATCACTAGTTCTAAATTATCCATAGTGCAGAGATCTAGTTCTAATCTTTCAACTTTGCTACAGAAATTTACTGTTCTGAAATAATCATAAGCAAAAGTTTTACCTCCGTTTGAAGAGTTTTATAGTAGAATATTTGCTATTTTTACAGTATTAATGAGACTATAGTAGTTCTAAATTAGATATTGTAAGAATTTTCTTAGAATTGAAATATCTCGATCGAGAAAGAAAACACGTATATTTCACGAGTGTTTGGCCTTCTATGAGTGACGAGGCTAAAATTATGGAAAATTATCTCGTAAACCAGATTTTGATATTGGAATAATTAGTTTCTATCATGACTAATTTCCGTCATCAAGTTGAGTTGCATTAATGATTGGTTTTTCCTTTCTTCAAAGATTGTCGAATAGTATTATCTTAAGTACAACTATTATTATTGTTTTTGTCATTCAGTATTACGCATCCTGATTGCGTATGACGACATTGGAGGCAAAATGAATGAGCAAGCTTTGATCACCGACTGAAAATGATGACAGAGTTGAAATTCATTTTATTTTATTATTATTGTTTTTTTTTTATCTCGCTGGAGGTAAAATGAAACAGATACAATTTTGCTTTACTGAAAAGTTTCCCAAAACCTTCCTCTGTCATTTAAATTTTCAGTAAGTTGGCTGATAGGCTCTATGTGTTCATGCATCTGTTTAGTGATGGATGACATACGACATCAAAATGTGGTAAGAACGAAGAAGAGGTATTCGAGGAGCAGCCAAGTGTGTCCTTGCTTTTTTACCACAATTAGATGCCATCTGTTATCTATTACTTTCCAAACCGACGGCAACATATAATCCACTTTTTTCAATATGATAACAAAATTAAATGTTGTCAGTGGTGACGTCATCTATGCGTCTGACTTCGAGATTATAGGTAGGAAACGATCAAAATGTGTATATTATTCAGCTTATCATGTGAAATACATCTTGATAACAAAGTGATTCTTACACGATCCACCAACGATTAGTTACTACCAGGACGTTTCTTGTCATCGCTTTCTAATAAGGGATACAGCCTGACGATTAAAATGATCGAGTGAAGTGATCGGAGCATGCGCTCTAAAATTGCCGCTATGCATAAACAACCGCATGCTTGTAACTCGCGAGAAATTTACGCTTGTAAAGGAATGGGAACGACAAAATTTCGATAGTAACACTATCAAGCTAAAATTGCGGCATTTTTAAAATTCCCGTCGCCTGTCTTCATTTCGTGGGAATAAGTCCAAACCAAAACAGATAAGGTAACCGTATTCAGCAAAGTTTCTGTCGAACCTCCTCCGTCACACATCTCACTCAACAAAATAAAGTATTTCGGCAACAGGCGTGAATTTAGTGACTGAAGTTGAGCAGCCGTAACATGGCTGTTGTCTCGGCGGAAAAACCCGTGTCAGCTTATGTTTGCGGAAGAAAAATCGCAACCCTGGACGCTCAAATTACTCGAGTAATGTAGCATGCGCACTCATTTTGCCGCTGTGCCACTGTGTCTTTGTGTTACACGCGTGCGATCATGCGAATTTAGGATGACATTCAACAATAATAAACTTTTGCGCACAACTATGATTCACAAACAGAACGTCAAAATCAGATTAACCCTTTCACTGCCAAGATCTCATTGTTAATTCTACTCTCTAGCAGCTACGTATTTCCGTGTCACTTATTTAAAAGAGTTTGGTGGTAAATCAAAAAAAAAAATCTTCATGATAAGTTTGAGCATTCTCATCAACTGTTTGCTGGATAATGTATGGATATTATTGGAAGAAATTACATGTTAATCACTTCTGGAAGTAAAAGGGTGAAACGAAGTTATTTTGAAGTTATTTTGTTAAGTAATCAGAAGTTCAATCATTTTTGCCAACATCTGTGTTGCAAACTTTGCATGCTACAGTTCTAGTCTCAACCCCAGGAGTAAAAAAAATTCACAATTTTTCCTCACCATATCACTGTATTTCAAGCAGAAAGATTGTGAGAAAAGCGAGAACAATCAGTTTGAAACTATAGATTGATCTCATGTTAAATTCTCAGAGTTAAAATAGAACGAAATATATGGCAAACAGCAGGAAGAAGTAATATTGGAATTCAGGGGAGCTAATAGCGTCATGACTGAAAATATATGAAAATTATATATGGAAATGAATATGAAAGTGATCTTTGCAGTAATGAACACTAACTTAGCAGTAGTGAAAATAAGACCTAAAAAAATTCAGGCTTTAACGGGATTTTAACCCATGACCTCTGCGATACCGGTACAGTGCAGTGTTGAGTGCAGCATTATGCATCTAAGCTGGTCTGTTGAAAAAAAAAATGCACTATTCCATTCTGTCCGGAAAAACCGGATGTCATTTCTTATACAAATTCATCAGCAAATGTACAGAATGCAGTGAATGTTTTGTATTATTACATTTCCCAAGTAGTTGTCTGGTGGTAGCTTTGAAGAAAGAGGGATGTGTTTTACTTGTAATTTACCGATTGTTGATTGTTTTGTAATCATTGTTTTTATGTCTAGTCAAGTACTCAATGTCTCGTACTGCAGGTCAAAAGAATGTTTTGTTACTCCTTAAGCCCTAGAGCTCTCAGAGAACAAAGCTGACCGTTTCCCTCGGGATAAGGCATCAAGTGCGTAATATTGTAAGAAGAAGTCAAACATGCTACACTTCTTAGAGAATTGGCATAAAAATCCAAAACATCCAGGAAAGATGTCTACTTTTTCCCTCTTGGACTCAAGAGGGAGCATTTTTCCATACCGATCAAATTCTTCTACACGTGACCTTTTTCCACCAATGAAAACAGGCAATGCTTTATCAGTATTCTATTACAGCTGATATGTGTAATCTTTTTGTAAGTTATTTACACTGTACTGCTGGTGTTGAGCTTGTCGATCTTGCAACCGTTGGAGAACACCATGGATGCTTTCAGGACGTGTTTATGTTACACAGTTATTCTTCACAGTTGTATTAAGCTTGCGTCTGCGGTTGGTGAGTTGATCTGAAATGCGTTAGCTTGGATTTAAGGGGGTTTTTTCGATGATATGGATCTAAGAGTGAGAATATTGTCAAGCAAACTTGAAAACACGTGCGAGATAGCACGATAATCAACATTTACCGAGATCAGTAACCAACAGCTCATTTGGTTCAGAATAGCATACCAACTAATCCTCACAAAAGCTGACTTTAACTAAAGTTTTTCAAAAGATTTCGAGTCACATTTTTGCGAATTGGAGACCTAAATATCCTTGTTATATTATAATTTTCTAATATTGTTATTCTCACTGATCAGATTTTGGGTAAAAATGTTGGAACTATAATAATAATAATAATAATGACTTTATTGGATAACACAATTACCGGTAAATCCAGAAGTTCTCATTGTGGTCCACTAAACTAACATTGTTTATCATATAAAAGTTTTACTCAATATCTTGAATTCTTTTCTTCAGTTTAGAAACAGAAACTGCTGCTATTAAAGCTATGGACCTTAGACAGAAAGTATTTTGAAAATCTCTCTGTGATAATATTTCAGTAATTCCCCTAAATTCAATTGCAGCTAGCACCACTTACTTTCAGTGGCTAGTTTGAAGCTCAGTTTGTGTGGGAAATTTTTGAATAAGCAGAAATCTTCCTCACTACTTGAAATCTGACTTTTGTATTAAGTTATTTTAATGTACGAAAAGTTTTGTATTTTTAATTGTCGATAGGATGTTTATTTTAGAATTTTTAACCCTAGTAATGTATATTTATTTAACTTTTGAACTTTTATGACACCGTTTTTTTGGTCTTTTCATAGTGTAATGAGCGATACAAATTCATGAATGTCTTTACTTTACTCCTGTAATCCTTTTTTAAAAAACCTTTACCAACATACTTACTAAGATAGAAGAATTACTAACGCCGAGTTTAAAGTGAATGCAAAGTGAAGAAAAATTGGCAATGAAACCTGCAGGAGCCACAGCTTACTCAGCCCTTTTTTATTTTATTTTCGAGAATGACATGATGTGATTCATGTATCTAGATAGTCAGTGAAGAACGTGAGAATTTCATAATATAACTTTCCTCGCTAATACACCGAATGTGGCGATTTTTCGGTGTTTGTTTTACTAAGGATCAGATCAGGAACTGTTCAAAGTTCAAACCCACGTGAGCAGCACTGTTACTTCACGCTTTTGTCGTTGTCAAGGTTATAAATTACTGACTAGGTCACGTGAATAACATGTGGCCAATCGGCCTAAACGCAGTTGGCTTTCTGCACTATCCGTCCACGTGGATGCACTGTGGCTGATATGGCATCTGAAGAGATTCGCACTTAACTTTTCCTTTACTGTTAAGAAAGTTGACCTTGGCAAATATTTTTGGCAATGAGGCTTTTGGTCGGTGAAATACCTCATTTGTTTAGATTTATAGATGCTTTGGCAACCCCTAGCAATAATGATTAAAACACAAAGACGCCAATTTAAAATAGCAGGCTGACTCGTTGTTTGTCAAGCTGTATGAAAAATTTAGCCTTTCTTGGCACGCTTTTCTCTTTCGAAATACTTGCTCATCTTCTCCATATCCGCAACTATTCAGTGCTAGTCTACCATGACAGGAGTTATCTTTATGATCGGGAACAATTTTCAATTTAGAGTATAAAGTAATCCGGGATTGCTCTGTCTTTGCTTTACTTCGCTCTGTACTTGGGCTAGGAAACTTGCGCCGCTCTCTTAACCCTTAAACTCCCATGAGTGACCAAGACAGAATTTCTCCTTACAATATCAATACAATATCATGTAGACAAGAGATGAGAATTAATACAAATATCAATCAGGGGGATTATTAGTTGATCCAACACCAAATTCTCCAAGCTAACATCCTAAGAATTGTATGGCAGACAGTAAGGAGAATTACTATTGAGATCTTGGGAGTTAAAAGGTTAACTAATCAGAGGCAAAAATAAAATTAATCACGTCTCGGTCGCATGAGGTTTCCGCCTCCTCAAGGCATTGTCTCTCACTCTGCTTGGCGGTTGTGATGACTTTTGTAATTTGTCCTATGACACTCAATCCGAAAAACACTCTATAATAAATGACTCATTATATTGTGCCGTTGAGAAAAAAATACGAAAAGAAACTGCGCGATCTTACTCGTCAAGTAGTTTAAATTATTCTTTTAAAAGCAAAGCGAGGCTTACTGTTAAAACTCCTTGGAAGATAATTCCAATTACGTCAAAAACGACACTTGAACCCGAGGGCTCCATTCCTTGGAACATTACGGGACTGCTACCAATATTTAAACTGAATGACCAAAACCACCGTTTGTATGCGGTATATTTTAGTATCGAGCAAGGTCACGACACCCCAAACCCATGATCCTTAAAAGAAATTTTGATGAATAACTCATCGGCGAAACACCAAATTGACCTATGACTTGGGCAAAACGTTTTTCTACAACTGTTCTCCAATATCTTATATTCTTGGCGTCAGACATGGACCTTAATGGCCTAAGAACAAAAACTATGAATAGAATAAGACCTTTGTGCCTCGCCAGTCTTGTCACGAGCGTGAGACAAAGAAAAAAAATCTGAGACCCATGACGAATATTTCCTCGTTCCACGCCCGTGAAAAAGACGAAAAACATCTTTCTCAAAAATGATGAACTTTAGAAAGCTGCAGTTTGTTCTAATATTTTGATTCGCTTGGTTTTAAACATTGGTGTATTCCTGATGAAATTTACCACGATGTGCCCTTATTGTGAAGAATTAAGGATAATATCATGATCAAGCAAATTTAAGTCTATGTCATCTTCATACATATTGTTTCAGAAAGAAAAAAAAAGAAATAGTTGTTGGTATCTATGACTGCACTGAAACAATTTTTTAAGTGGCTTTTCTGAGACGAACGTGGGGGAGGGAGGGGGGTCAAATTGTACACTGATTATCAGGTAATTTTGATAAATCAAGAACGCCCGTATTTCTTTTTGGCAGAAAAAAGTGCGTTCAAATTGTTGGTGTTTTTTTCTCTCGAAACAACCGTGTTTCATGATGGGTGCCATAGCGAACAAAGGGCCAAATCAGTTTATATCATCAAGCGGAAATTAATTTTGTATCACACTAAGTATACACATGACGTACTAATTAGTATCATTCAGCTCAACAGTTTCAAAATAGATGGAATTACTTCATCTCCTGTCGTTAGGTTTTACACATTCTTAACTCTGTTATTTTAGTTTCTTTAACTGAGAACTGTGTTCAAACCGATTCCTGAATAACTCACTTCCCAAATAACTCTCGATAAAATTCTACGAACCAGAAAGGGATTGAGAGGCAAAGATAAAAAACTTTTTGAGACGATATAAATGACGCTATGGTGGACTTGAAATAGAAGTTTTAAGGAAGTCATGTTACGTCAAGATATTTTGGTTCTGTAACTATGACGGGTTAAAATTCCTTAAGTGAAAGAAACCACAAAAAAATAACCTTGGTAAGATGTAGGATGAATATATATAAACCAAGAACGAAAGGCAAAGATAGAGGATGGAAGGATGAAGGGTGTACGCTCGAGACGTCAGCTGTAGAAATTCTTTTCGGTAGTCAACTTACATAAGTAACTCACTCGACTAAAAGTATAACTATAAATGGTTGAAAAGGATTGACATGGATGACAGATAAAGAACCCAGAATTTTTTAAAAGCTAAAAATTTTTAAGCTCCTATTAAACCTTCCTCTTCATGTTCTGTCGAGGCTGCGACATCTGTATTTGAACAGCTGTGAAACTAAAATAGATAATTGACAAATGATACCATCTCAGGGATAAAAAGGGAAAGTGTGTTACGTAATCAGCAAGTTTTTGTTATCATATCGATTAAACAGCTTTTATGATATTGTATTACAATCGAACTGAATGAATAATCTCGCTGTTTTGACACGAAGACTGAAAAGAGCTGTCTGATTACCTCTGTTCTGTCTATTTTCTATGTGAGAGAAATAAATGTCAAATTGTTCATGGCTAAAAAAGGTGTATAAAACGTGCTCGCTTCAGAACAACTTCTGACTGAGCGAAATATCGAACCTCTCAATATTGAGTAGGATTAGAAGACACTTTTCATATGCAAAATTATGTAGATGCTGGAGACCTCTGCCGATCATTATAGACAGTTTGTTAGTCTGGGAAATATATTTATACTTTTCACGCGTCATGTAGTGCGCAAAACTCTGGCTAATATAAAAATATTATTGTGCACTTCTAACCCCGAGCAACGAGAGGACACATCATGGCAGCCGGTAGTGTTTTCGACGTTCGTTTATTTCCATGTTTGTGGATTATTGTCCATCTCGCAGCAGCAAATGGTGAGATCACAGAAAAGCTATCATTTTCATCAATTGCTTTTAAGAGGAAATGCAATTTTAAGCGCATAATGCTGATGAAACGAAGTGCTTTAATTATTATATTGATTAGAAATTAACTCGACAAGCTTGCTTTCGTAGGAGATCGATGGAAACCGAAGTCAGAAGTTCTGTATGACACACGATTCCCTTCATAAAGTAGTCTGAACACGTTATCATACTAATTGTGATTTGTTCGAGAGGAAAAGAAGCGAATTTATCTTTTTTCAAAATAAGTTTGCAGATTATGTCGTTCATGCAGATCAAGCGGTTTTATCGTTTAATTGGACACCGGGCGAGAGCATGATAAACAAATTTAAACGTTAACGAGCTGATTGCATTGGATTAAGCTGTCATTTAATCTATTCTGTTCAAAATGTGTTGCCGGTGAAATATTTTCACTCAAGACTAAAACTTAAAAGCAATCGATGAAATTGTGAAATAAAATATCAAAGATATTAGTGTTTCAGAGAGCCTGTTCCGTGTTTTACAACCAATGTATGGCGTAAAATAAAGCTAGTTTTGGACACACTAAATCAGAATTGCCGGTTTCATTATTAAAATGTTTTAAAAGGTTATAAGAAACAAAAGACCTATGGCCAAGTTCGAAACGCAAGGCGTCTTGTCGATAGTCATTCGATATTTCTGTCAGTTTTGAATTCGCAAATTCCCATTTATACTGGCTGAAGAGCACGATCAACTTTACATAAGCAGAAAGTTCCGTATCTTTCAAAAATCAGACACGTTTTCATTTTCAACTGCGATAAGTTTAGAATTCATCATGATAAGTTTTTTTTTCCATCAAGCAAAACATTGCTAAGAACATCATGGCCTTAAGTTCAATTTCAATTGAAAATATTGCTACAATCTTTGCAGGAACTCTTATGCCTAACGTATGCTGGTTTCGTCACGAATTTGACATAAACATAATGCAAAACAAGGAAAAACTACCTAGCAACAAGTCTAACCACAGTTTTTGGGATTAGCACACATCACTACAGACGGATTAAATTTAAGGTCATGCGGGACTGGACTTAAAGTTGTCAGAATTTAATAAGGACGACGAGTTGGGAAATGAAATGTTAAACATCATAGTTATATTTTTGCTTGAATGCCAAATACTAATTATTCAAAATTAGGATATATTATACAGGCACTGGTTGTTCGAAGCTTAGCTCACGTTATCCACTGGATAAACCTCTATTCGTTGAATAAAGCTATACGTTTTCTCTCACTTATCCGCCGGATGGCGGTTTATCCGTTGGATGGCGTTATCTGCCCTTTATGACGACTTGGCCAAGGTGAATAGTACTTTACGAGCTGATTGGCTAGTTCGAGAATATTTACCACCGGGCAGCCGAAGAGACAAAATCGTGTATCAAGAATTTAATTTCCAACCGTTGCTCGGTTCATTGACGGATATAAATAAATTTTTGGTTTCTGTGTGGTACATACTAAAACAATGATTCACCTCTGTGTCGTTTCAAGTGATGAATATTCACCTCTGGTTCGGTAAATAATTGTTAATCATATGTCTCACAAACATCAACCGTGCCAGTATTACTTAACACTTCAGTCATTATCATGCTACGAACAGTGATTCACAATACGCATAAATCATTCCGAAGGTTGGCAGCCAAGCAGTCGGTCAGTAAGTCAGTTGGTCAAAGGTCATTCAATTAGTCAGTCAGTTTTTTGGCACTCTAACTTCTAAACCTAACACAATATTTTCTTTTTTCAAACAGAGAGGCTTTCGTTGGACACGAATCTAACGCGAAAAGAAATCACCACCATCTTGAGACGTCCCGTTAATCTTGGATGCTACGTGAACAAAAAAAACTATGCTAAGTCTTCGCAGACTGAGACCTCGTCTCTCGTTAGCTATGTCTGGTTAAAGGAAAACAAAATCATAACCCGGATCAACAACTCAAGCGATCGTGCCAGTGTCTTAGTTGTAACTCCAAAAGACGATTCAGATTATGGCACCTACCGGTGTAACGTCACAAATGGTGTCTCTAGAACTCAATGTAGTATTGAACTGAAGCGAGGATGGACAAAGATGGGTTAGTTTCATACATTCATGCTTAGCTTTATCACTCTCAAAGTTATTAATCATTTGAACTACCACCTAGAAAGTGTGATTTTCAATTTGATTATGTTTAAAAGCCTTGAAAAATACTAAAAAACTCCTGCAGCATCATAACTTAACTCTTAAAAAACCATATCCAGTGAGAATTATCAAAAATTAGGACACGTATGGTGAATTCAGTCTCGAAACTGATCTCTTGGGTCGTGCCACATTTTTCCAGGAAACGATAATATGGATCCGCGGTATTTTTTTCTAGAAAATCATTCCACCCACAACTGCACACCCATACACATCTTTTGGGACACCAACTGCCTCCTCTGCCCCTCTCAATGTTAGTATGCAACATGGCGTAGATACATTGATAATTAAAAAAATTTGTAGATCAGCAGGGCGATAGAACATAGACGTTGTTCTGAAGAAGTTTCCCTGATAATTATGTGTAGGAGTGCCAAGTTATTTTAGGATACCCTAATTCTTATACGCGTTTATTTACTTTCCAGAAAGCGTTCCTCTCACGACTGGGTGTGTAAACATTTCGCTATTGATGCCAGTGTTAGCAGTTGCCGTATTGTCATTGTTGTTAGTCATTCATCTTTTGATAAAAAAGAAGAACACTAAGAAAGCTGCACCAGAAACTTCGGAGCAGGAGTTTGAACGACACAACAAAACGTCGGTTACCCATCCTCATGCCCAACAACGCATGGAAACGAGAAAATTATCGAGGGATCTTCTTTACAATAGCTTTGCAGATGGAGAATCAAACACAAAAGAGTCAAAACCAGAAGTGGTATCGGTCGAAATGCACGTCGGAGGAGAATTTCATAGCACGCCTAACGGCAGACTAGGATCAGCTGGTAACCTCAGACGGGAGCGACCGAAAGGCTTTTACAACAAATCCTTGCGAAACGTACCACATGTTTCAGAGGATGGAGAAACAACTCCGAAGGACATCGGATTTTATAATGCAAATTTCAGAAACGAGTCTATGGATAGCGGTCTCGACTATTCCCGCACGGTCTCACCAAACACGAGCTTCGACGAAACCTCCTTGGCTGACGAGAGCACAGTAAAAGGATATTACAATAAAACATTTAAAAACAACTCCACGGAAGATGATGGTGCTGATGATGTCTTTGCCAAAAAAAGCGAAGAGCTGACGGTGGCAGATAAATCAAAGAGTGGTAAGGCGATGGGATTCTATAACAAAACATTTCATTCCGAATCCATGGACCTCACTGATAATGCAAGTGATGGTGGCTGCGCATCGGTTTCAAGTGGTTCCGTGGTAGGTGAGGCTGGAGATAAAACAGCGCAACCCAAAGCGTTGACCGACGTATTCCCAAAGCGGGAAGAGGAAATGACAGTCGCTGACAAGTCAAAAAGTGGAAAAGCCATGGGATTCTTCAACAAAACCTTTCATTCCGACTCCATCGACGCCTCAGATGGTGATGACGATGGGGTCCTTGCGGCAGAATCAGGTAACCCAACAAGCAGCAAGACTGAAGATGACAAAGTAGACACATCTAATGCTGTACCTGACGCCTTGACAGTTGCTGAAAAGTCTAAGAGTGGAAAAGCGATGGGATTCTTTAACAAAACGTTCCACGAATCTGTGGATATCCCAGACGACGATAATGATGGTACCGGCGTGTCAGAATCAGCAACCAGTGTCAATCATCCAGCGGAATGCGAGTCAAAGGAGGAACCTCATGTGTCCGAGGAAGACACTTACTTCTGAGAGAAGACATTTTGAAATATTGAGGAACTGTAGATGTAATTTTTTTCATTTTCTTGACCCTATTTTGATTAAGATGATACTCGTTTCAATTGTCACTCTCCTTAACAATCCATTGTGCATATCTGACTACTTTTCGTTATTGAGAGAGCTTCCATACTGTGATAATTAAGGTAAGAAACCCACTTGTATATATATATACATATGGCATGGCTTAGATGATCCCACATGTGTGAGATCACTTGGGGTGGCTATATGG